GGCTTCCATTCCAACAGCATACGGACTATTCAGTCACTGAAATGTATTTCTCCTTTATAAACTCCAAGAGAGAAACAGCACCTGCAGTGTTTTTGTGGGACCAGTGAGCGGGTCACATTGATGTGAACTTGCTGTAAGCGCTCGAGCGTCATACATGGGGGACAGCGACCCTCACCCAGGAAATCAGAAGGCTTGCGGAGGCCAACTGTTTCTTTCAGACATCTGACAGATGGCACGAGAATAAAAGGTACACATGGAACAGTAACTTGGTAGATGTCTTTCCCTACACTTTAAATTCAGAACTGTACTGATGTCTCTTATTATCATATATGGCAGACTTTTCTAACGGCTGTTAAAAAACAAGTGAAGTAAAGTAAAGGCCAACCAATTTGACTGCTGTGGCAAACTCAGATTTGTTTTCATTTCGAAGAAATGTGTGAGTCAGGTGCAGGGTAGCATATCCCTGGAGAGAAGCCACTTAGAAGCAAAGGGGGATTTATTTAACTTATAGCTGCATGGCCTCAGAGTCTGAACAGGAGCACCCAGGCTAGCGAAGGCTCCATGGAAGGTGGCAGATGGTGGGGTGCAGGTAGAAGGAGCACATGGGGAGTGGGAAAGCAGGGACAGAGAATAGGATCAGACTCAAGCTTTACTGACAAGCTTCTCTTGAAAATTCCTCCTCAGGGCACACCCCCACCCCAAAACCTAAGGGCTCTGCACTAGGCCCCACTCCCAAAGGCTCACCACCTCCTAACAGTGCCACTCTGGAAACCAGAGCTTTAACACATGTGACATTCAATATCAAACTATCACTCATGGGCTACAGGTGACAGAAAGGGTGACACATAGAAGAGCTGCAGTACGTGTCATGCTCACAGGGCAACTGAAAAAAAAAACCTAGCAAATTCAGAAAGCAGCTGGGCAATGACATAGCAGGATCCTGGGTACCTAGAAGGGAGTATGTCTTGGTCATGGTATAAATACAATTGGCAGCATTCAGCATTTTGTAGCATTTTCATAAATCTGTAAATTTGCAAATGGCAGCCACAGTCAACCTGAGGTGACGCTGTGCCCAGTCCAGGATAGCATAGCCAGAGGGCAGGTGAGGACTGCAATGGCGTATCCTGCTAGGCCTGGTGGTGGGTCTGTCCCAATAGCCAGCTCCATTGGCCTGTTCCTAACATCTGTCATGCCATGGGTATTGCAGAGGTACCCCAAGTGACAGTAACATCCACCTTCCTAAGCACTCAGACCCAACACCCTGAAGCATCTTTACGCTCTCCTACATGCACAGGCAAATTCATCCCCAGTTTATTTGAAAGTCCGGGATACAGAGGGAGAGATCTTCTATCTGCTAGTTCACTCCCCGAGGGGTTGCAACAGCTGGAGCTAAGCTAATCTGAAAACAGCCAGGAGATTCTTTCTGGGTTTCCCACGTGGGTGAAGGGTCCCAAGGCTTTGGGCCATCCTCAACTGTTTTCCCAGGCTACAGGCATGGAACTGGATGGAAGTGGGGCCATTTGGACATAAACCAGTGCCCATATGGGATATCAGTGTGTGTAAGGTGAGGACTTTAGCCACTAGTCTAATGTGCTGGGCCCCATGCTCAGTTGTCTCCAACCTTTCCCTCAATGATAGACTCATATTCTACATGTAAATGTGATCTTGGACTTGTCTGGGAGAAATGGTGAGATACTCATATCTCAACATGAATAGGGCATGCAAAGGCCACATCGAGGAAGCCATGAGCACAAGGGGGAACAGGGCAGTGACATTCCCATGAGCCTTTATACACGGCCAGAATATTGCAAATAAAACAAAGCTGATTACCCATTCTAGTGAGCATACATGCCACTTGCTTTCGATGAGGATTTTTCTGAACAAGAACAATGGATTTCCAATCTCTGTTACTGAGTTGACTCATAAGAAATTCAAGAATATTCTGGATCAAAACTTATTTACTCAATGAAAAAGACTCAGTCCTAAGTTCTAAAAATCTATGCAGGGTGCTGATGCTTATAATGAAGTGAGTTTAGTTGGCACCTGCAATGCCAACATTCCATTTGGGCACCAGCTCCCTGCTAACACACCTGGGAAAGCAGTGGAAGATTGTCTCTATCATCCACATGGGTGGTCAGGATGAAACGCCAGGCTCTTGCTTTTAATCCAGGTCATTGTGGCCATTTGAGAAATGAATCATCAGATGGAAGAGTCATGTCTCTCCCTGACACCTCCAGGTCTCTCTCTAATTCTGACTCTCAAATAAATAAAAAAATCTTAAAATTTAAAAAAAGTGGGATAAGGTTGTACAAGGTAAGCAGAGAATTCTAGGCTGAATTGACATTCCAAAATGTTATTTTTGAAAATTTAACAGATTGGTAAGACCAGGAAGTGGTTGTAAATTTTAGTAACAAATGCATCTCTTCTCCATAAGGCTTTCTGGGGGATGCATCATTGTCCTTTAATATTGCATCACTAGATTAGGTTCCCAACTAGAATTTTAGAGGCTAAGAACACTGTAAATCTCCCTTTTGTCCACGACAGCTGAAGGGATCAAATCCCAAGCCTGTATCCATCATCACTGGCTTAATTTCTCATGAACAACAAGTTCATTTTTTCTGGCTCTACAGTTAGTCTGTAAACAATAATTATAGTAAACAGTTCAAACCCAAGAATAAAATTTGATTTATATTCAAGAGCAAAGAGCCAGGAGCATGGGCCAAGGAAAATTCCCAAGAGGCACAAATGTCAAGGTAATTAGGGGGAGGGCCTCTAGTGGAGAAAGTTTAAACGAACATCTCTTCTCCCACACCTCAACGTCAACTGGAACTGCTGTCATTGTCATTACTCTAAAGCCCATGAATAGTTTCCTCAGGATTTCCTCATCTGTATTTCTAGTTCTAAGATTGGGTATAAAGCAAGGAACTTGAAAACATTCCTTCTTTTTCATGAATCATTAACGGACAAGAAACAGAGCCTATTCACCAGCTTATCTTGTGCCTAACTTTATTTAATGGGGCTGAGGGAAAGGCTGATGGAAGCTGCTAGACCTGTTTTATTGAAATGGGACAGTTAGAATGGGCAGGTGACATATTACTAAGCAAAGTGCCAAAAAAAACCTACAAAATCTCTTGTGAAGGTCTTGTTCGTAACCACATTTGCCAGATTGAAGTTCTGTTTAATAAATGCTCTCCAGAATCACAATTATAATAAATGATTAAAACAAAGAAAACACAGTTTCTACAAGCAGGTGTTGAAGGCAAGCAGATTTTTCATTGTGCATAATCCAAATGAAATGCCACCATGGTGAAACTATTTACCTGTTTGTATTACTGCTCACCTCCTTAGTGCTTTACTTAAGAATTATAGCAGTTCAAAGAATAAAGTAATTATGCATTAATGCATAATAAATGCATAGCTTTTCTAAAATGATCATTTATGTACTACATGACTTTGAACTTGCAGGGAAATGTGCACTTGATTAGGTGATAGAAATGTAAGGCATGAAGCTACCAGCAATAATTAAATATTTGGCATAAGTGTAGAACAATCACATAAGTCCTTCATGGTTAGATTACTGTGAAATGAAAACCAAAAATGCTATATAAGAAACATTTTTGGCCCTGGTTATGTTGACCTAGCTCCTTCATCTGTTCTGGGCATCCTCATTCCACGGGTAACTCCAAATTTTTCTTTAGTTTTTCCAGTTCCCCAAATGATGAATGGGTCTGAGTAACTTCCTCAACTCTCTCCTCTGGCCCAGGGGTTATATTCCCAAGCAAACAAACTGAAATTCTTGAGGCTTACTCAGTCATCATATCCCACTGCTGGTGTCAGGCCCACTAGGGTCTACATGGAGAGCTTTACGCAGGCTGCTGTTCAATGTCCTGCCATCCTGTAGCTGTACAATTGGACTTTAGATGTTAACATCACACATTGCTTCTTTACTAGGAATCCATTATTCTAGCCTATGATTCAAGCTTTGAGTCATACTGCTATCACCCAAATTAGTCAGGCCAGTAAATTCAATGGCAGGTTCAGATAGACTTCAAATGTCTTTTGCACATCAACATCTGTAATCATTCAAGTCACTGGTGGAAATGCTGCCAAGCTCAACTGACCATACTGTAGGATTTATCAGTGCATGGCTCTCTGCTGCACAAAGCCAGGTATTCACATGGGTCATTCATTCTGAAAAAGTCTCTAGGGTTGTATTTTCCAGATTTTAGAAGAGAAGGTGAAACCAGGAAGGAAAGTACAAATACACTAACAATACTTGCTTCACTTCACAATCTGTAGCCATATTCTCTCTTGCATTTAGCTCAGAACATCAATGAAAGTGGCATTTCAGGAAGTCTTACTGTGAGCCAGAGCACGAAAGTGCCCAGTTGTGCATCAGCAACACAAGGCATTCAGTGTTTCTGACTCTCCTCCTTGCAGATACACATCAGGGTTGCTCTATCCCAACCCTTCCAAAGATAGGCACAGCCATGCGGCTTGCATTAGCCAAAGCCACACAGGTGGGAGGATCTGTATTATACCCTCGCAGAATCTTCAGATGCCAGCAGTGGGGCTGGTCACACTTCCTCTTCAGCATTGTCCTTATCAGGAGAGCAGGTGTCAAGGGGAAGTCTTCATTAGCCTAAATTGCTCCTCCAACAAAATCTTATTGGACATGCAATGTGAGCGGCAGATTATGTCCATGAGACTTTGGATGCTCTGCTATTGCTACTTCAAAACTTTGCCTACCCTGTTACTCCGAAGACCAGGAAAATTTTTAAAAGGTATGTTCTCTCATTTGTAAGGAGTTTATAACATGGATGAATAGAGAAACCACATTCACAAAATAAAAGTAAGAATTAAATTGGCAAGATGGAAAAAACTAAACTGAACACAAATTACAGAGAGGTACGCAGTCAAAACAGTGCATCTTAAGTGAACTGAGAAGTAGACATTTTGTCTAGTAGTGAAGGCATGCACACTCACCATCAGAGTACCTGGTTCAGTTCCCGACTCCAGCCTCCCGGGAGGCAATGCTGATGGCTCAAGAGACTGAGCTGCTGTCACCCACAAAGAACACTCAGTTCCAGGGCCCAACTTCAGTGAATCTAAGTTCCAGCTACTGCGGGCACCTGGGGAGTAAATCAGTATATGGAGAAAATCTCTTTCCACATCCCACCCTGCCTCTCACATAATTTCATTTATAAAAATTTTCAAAAGAATTAGTACAAGTGGGCTCAGTAAGTTCATAGGCTCAGTATGTAAGCTCATGGTTCGAAGAAAAACTCATTTCTGTGAAGCAAAAGAAAACTAAAAACTGTGAAACTTTTTGAAAAGTATTACAGGAAACAGTTCTACAAATGTGTTGGCTCTTCTCTTTTAAAATGGCAATGGAAGTCAGTGAAGTTACAGAGCTGTTTAACATGCATTTGACTTTAGCCTTCTCAAGAGCCAGCACTAATAAAGCACTGAGGTTTCCTAAATGGATATATTATAGGTCTCTGTACTCAGAAATCAAATGGCTTAGTACAGAAGGGTCACCTCTTCCAGGCATTTTACAAGAACCTTGGCAACTTGAGGAATGCAGATAAAATACAACCTATCTTAGCACACATTTAAAACACAATTTACTCTGTTTCATAGAAAGTTTGTTATGGGTGTTGTAACTATAAAGTAAATACTGGCCTGTATACCCACTGTTGACTTGGCTGATCTAGCAAAAATGTAGGTTCTTAAAAAATGTAGGTTTGTATATTCAGACATTCATTCTAGTACTTTTATAAGGATGGAGAGAGTTCAGTATTTATTGGACTCATGACTCACTCATTCAGCAGACATTTTCCAAAAACCCAAGCTCTGCCAGAGGTTGTGCAGGAGGTTGGCTTCCCATCAATGAGAAGAATGGAGAAGAATCTGTCCTCGGGGAAGTTGGAAAACAGATTAGATGGAGTAGGGAGGAACAGAGAAAGACTTCCTTGGAAGAGGAAACCCCAAGTGGATCCCACCCTGAGGCAGAAATGGCCTTGAAAGTTCCAGAAAACAAAGTCCAGCAAGAATCAAAGATTGTAAGTGACTGAGAACGTAGCTTCAGAAGAGTTAGCACTGCACAGAGCACAGCGGATATACAAGCCTTATTAAGCAGTTTCCTTTTTCCATTTCCCCAATGCCATCAGAGTTTTGCCTAGGACTGTGTGGCATGATGTAATTTCCACATTAAGACAGCCATTCTGACTACCATATGAGGAAGGGATAAGTAGGGTTTAGCAGACAGATGGGGGATTATCCCTGGATCAGTGGTAGAGGCAGCAATAGCAGGAAAGCAAAACATGGAAGCACGTTTGCAAGTAAACAATTCAGGAATAGGTAATGGCATAATCATGAGGATGTGTCCAGAAAACCCTCAGTTTCTGGCTTGGGCGATTTCCTCATTCCATGCAATGCAGTAGACAGGGAAGGAGCCAGACTGGGGAGGCAGAGGAAGGTCCTATTGCAGCCCCTCACTTGAAGCTTTTGAATGGCAACTGGATATATTGATGTAGAGCTCAGCAGCGTGGGAGAGGAGGAGAGGAGTCATGTTTCCCACCCTGGTGTTGGGTTGTGCAAGGCAGCCAACACACAGCCCAGGGCTGTATCAATGACTGTGGTCTCCTTCAAAGGAGGGTGGGTGTAGGGTCCAAGATGACAATGGGAATGTGAGCTAGGAAAACCTGAGCAAGACCAGAGGACCTGGAGCCAATACGAGGTTGGATCAGAGGCCTAATGAGCTTAAAAAACCAATGAATTTTTGATGTCACATAGCTCAATCCAGACCTACCTGAGAATATGAAAATGTATGGGCCTGTCCCCACCCTTCCCCCAAGTTTCAGGTTCAAAAAAGTAACTTCTGTATGCCTATTATGTCCACATTACATGTAAACTTCATTTTCAACTTCTACTGACAGTCCCACTTCTCATTAGGAGACTAGCTTCCCAAGAGCATGGTATCCTTGTCAGATTATACAGAACCCTAGATAGAGGGATACTTTCCAAATACTACAATGTGAGAGAGTGCTTGCAGGTCTATGGTAAAATGAGAACCAAAAACATGGAAAAGGACATCACGAGGTGTCCAACCCTTATTTCCCCCAGAAAGCTTTCATGCAATTCCGAAGTAATTTCACACCCACTCTGGTGGTACAAAATAAGTCCTTTCTCCTACAAAACAATGGTGTGGGGTAGTTTTTGACACTTACTCAATGACTTCTTTTTTAAATCATCAGCCCTAAATAGCACTTCATTTATTTTAGTTGGATTCTGTCTGTGTCATCCAAAATTGGGACAACACAGAGAGACACCAAAAGAGTTTCAGGGAGCACCAACTCTCACCCAGGTATCCTCTGGAGGAACAGATCCCTCCCAGACAGCCCCCCAAGGCCTAGGGCTTACATTTTGTCACAGCAGACTTTGCTAAAGGCCACTGACATCTGATGTCCTTTCCAGATGATCAAAACCACAAACGCCAGGGTGCACTTTATTGGCAATGTTAAGCAAAGAAATTCCTGAACTCCAAGAGCCATGACCAATGTTCCAGATAGCTGGTTTCTCTCCCTTTTACTTCCCTTCATGTTGAGATCTACATTAGAATAATCAACAGGTAGTTGAAGCTTTTCAAATATTATCTGGGTATTCTTTTACTGTTAAGTTATTGTAAGACGTATTACTGTCATTGTACTTAGAAAATGTTTTCTTAGAAATACATACTAAAGTGTTTGGGGTAAAATTTGCATTTGGGATTGCTTTAAATTAGTTTAGCTTCTGATTGTAGCTTCCTCCTGATGTGCACCCTGGATGGCTATAGGTGATGGCTTGGTACTTGTGTTTCTGCTACTAATGTGGGAAACCTAGATTGAATTCTAGTGTTGGCAGAATCCAACCTTTGCTTTTGTAGGGGGTGCACCAGATGAACCATCTGTCTCTATCTCTGTCTCTCATTTCAAATAACATTTTAAAATTAAATACATAGTTTCAGTAAAATAAGACAACCCAACACATCAAGCTAGCAAGCATTGTTAACTCTTGGTAAGATAGCAAAGGTACTGTTACTTTTACATGTATGTGTGTAAAATTTTTCATAAAACAAGTTGGCAAGGAGGAAGAGAGGAAAAGAGGAGGAAGCAGGACTATCTTCCAACATCCTGAGCATCCTTTTGAAGTGACTTTGCAATAAAGGCAGGTGGACTCAGAGAGGAGAGCAGTTTGCACTAACATTTGTAACTCCGACTTAAGGCTAGCCTCCGCCATAAGGGCTCCCACCAGGGAGGTGTAACTACCACAGCTGTACACATGATCATTAAACCCACAATTCCACATGGAAACCTGAAAGCAATTAGAGCTATTTTGGCAGCTAAGGAAATTCATCTCTCGGCACAAAAAAAAAAAAAAAAAAAAAAAAAAAACCAGAATCAATTACAGTGACCTCACCTTATCCTACATTTCACTTTCTCTGATTTTAGTTACCCAAGGTCCAAAAAAAATTGGAATTAAAAGATAATTTTATTTTGGTGTAAAAAAACCTTTGAAACCTGTGCATATTTTTCATTATATGCATTTTTCATAAATTTTTTCAATGCTGCTCACAGGCATGGATTTTAAGTTTCTGCAACCAAAACAAATTTATATTTTAATTGTATGTTTCCACAAACTCTTTAAAGTACCCTTGTAAACTGTCAAGGTTGTTCCATTTTATTATTACTTATTGTTCATCTTTTATTGTACTTAATGTACAAATTAAACTTTGTCTTTTCTAGAGGGGTACAGGAGAAACCGTATATACAGTGCCTGGCACCATGTCTGGTCTCATATACTCACTAGGGATTTTGGAAGTATGTCCTTGCACAAGAGGGCATTACTCTAAGTTAATACCCACCAGCCTGGTCTAAAACCTACCATTACCCCTCAACTGCTCAGCAAAGCAGGTTCTGCTAAGACCTGGGTAGTCACTTGTTCCAGATCCTTTGCAAACTGCTGCTTATAAGGCAACCTGCAGCCACTCCAACATAAGTCTTTCCCCTTTCCCTGCCACTCAAAGGATCAAGAAACCTAATCTGGAGCATCTGAAAGGGAGACACACTGGCCAGTCACCCCTGCTGAAGGGCAGGGCGAGAAGCTTGCTCTAATGGTGCAGGAAGCACAGGGAGCTGCAGGTTCCTACTACTCTTCCCCACATACCTTTTGTCCTGCCCTCCTGGGCCCTCTCTTTTTTAGGATGAACCCTGTTTTCACAACACTCAATGGCTTCTGGGTCTAGAACTAGGGGTCTAGGGGCAGATTGGGAGCCAGACCACAGAAGCTGAAGCCCTGGCCACTTAGCAGCGAGGTGGCCTAGGACTACTTCTCACCCTGTCTGTGACTCAGATTTTGCTCCTTTTACAAACCATGCTTGCTGGGGCTGCTGTTCTGCTGAATCAGGTTAAGCCACAGCTAACAAATAGTATTAGAGTGCCAGCGTCAGTCCCAGCCAACCCTCTTCTGATCAACTTCCTGTTCATGTGCTTCCAGGGAAGGCAGCAGAAAAGGGTTCAAATTCTTGTGGGAGATCAGAGTAGCATTGTGGCTCCTGGCTTGGGCCTGCCCCAGAACCAACCAACAGAACCCCTTTCTGCATTTCAAATAAATAAAACCTTTAAGTAAAAATAAATAAATGATGACAATCACAGGGCTATTGGGGATGGATTAAGGGAGTTCAGGAAGTGCACAGAGAACAGCACTAATTCCTGCACATAAGCTGCACTGCTCCCTTCACGTCCTCCAATCTGCTTCCATCCCAGCATCCTATTCTACCACTGGCCCAATTACAGGCATGTCCCAAAAGCCATGTGAACACTTGCCATTGCTGATGCTCTCTGGGCATGTTCTTGCCTCACGATCCCAATCCCTTAAGTCTTGCCTTCCTGACCAGCCCAGCTGAAGCCCTAACTCCTCCTGAAGGGCTCCCTGTTAAGATCTCCCAGAGCTTCTCTTGCTGTCAGTTTGTCTTACCTGCACAGGGCATGAACTGGTGAGTTGTGTTCTCAGGAAACAGGTAGCACCTCAAAGGCAACTCAAAAGACCTTGTACAAAGGAGCGGGCTGGGTCTGAGGAGCCCAAGAGGAACCGTGAGATATGGAGGGGACTGGCCTCAAGGAAGCAGGTATCACTCGAGCCTGAAAAGACAAGGGGAGGGAACTGTTAGAAAAAAAGCAGAGAGAGCTGTAAGAGAAGCCACCTGGCTTAGGGCCTTCAAGTAGACAGACAGCCATAGCTGCTTCCAATGGGGATGGCAGGTGAGTAGCTACCTGACTTTATGTCTTCCATAGACCATGGTCTCCTGCAGGTGCTTCACCAGACCCAACTGGAAGCCAGAGCCCAGACAAGAGGCCAGACCCTTGGGAGATACAGGAAAAGGTAGGAAGAATGAAAACAAATTAGCATGCCTGGATTTGCCATGACCTCATCACCCCCTCAACTGGGTGCGACCTAGTATTCATCCTTGTGGTTTCTCTCACGTGTGGACCCACACAAGAGCCAGGCTGGTAAAATGGAAGAGACATGGACTTGGAAATCAGAGACCCAAACTCAACTCTAAACCTTGTCATGTACCAGCCACATGACCTTCAGAAGGTAATGTGACATTGCTGGACCTCTGCTTCTTGGTTTCCTTAAGTGTAAGATGAGAGCCATTAGCTTTCTAGGGTTGTTATGAGTAAGAATATCTCTTCCTTGGATCCCTCTTCCAAGTTATTTACAATCTCTTCAAGATTGAGGCTCTGGCTTCACAGCCAGGCAGCAGGAAGGCACACGTGTAGAGGAGTGAAACACTTTCATGAATTCAAAGTTGTTCTGCAGGTTGTCAATATGTCATCAGCTAACTTATCCAGTGGGAAAAGTAGTCAGATACCTAAGGACCTGGTTGGGAGGTGAGGTGATATGAGAGAAGAAAAAGGAAGAGAGATCTTCCATCTGTTGATTTACTCCCCCAAATGCCCAGGATATCCAGGGATAGGCAAGGTTAGGCCAAAACCAGAAGCCAAGAATTCCACCTGGGTCTCCTATATAGTTGGTAGGAAACCAAGCATTTAGGCCATCATCATTGTCTTTCAAGCCTATTGGTAGGAAGCTGGATAGGATATAGAGTAAACATGACTGGAATCAGACATTCCAATATGGAATACCTACATCCAACATGGAAGCTTAATGTGCTGCACTACAACACCCACCCTACTCAACTCTTACAAGGGGAGACAATGGAGAGGAATAAGTAGAGAGCAGACAGGTCTTCATTTCGTCAAACAGTCATCTGTGTACCAGGCAAAATTAAACATACAGATTTTGTAAATATTAGATACAATTGCTAGATACACATTGCTATGGCCAAATGTCATGTTGATTTTTCAATGTCCAAGAATTCTATTAATATGGATTTACCGAGTTAGAAAAAAATGCATGTTTGTCTAATCAAAGGTAACTGTTCCTAAACATACTCTAAAACAACAAAAAAAACACATGAACTAGAAATCCAAGTCAGAGAAATCGCAGAAGTTGAAAGTAAAGGCACATCCAGGAACCAGAAGAGCTGCCCCTTCTAAATGCTGAGAAGCCCACGGGAGGAAACATATCCCTTCTGAGCTCAGAGATAATGAACAGAGGGTTGGTGTAACGAGGTGGCTCCACCCCACTTCCCTGAACATAGAGCTTCCAGAAGAAGCTCCTGGTGAAGGCCCTGTGGAGACTCCTGTCTAAACCATCCTTTCACTTTTAAGTTGAAGTGAGTTGTCAGACACGGATAATAATGTTTGTGGAAACTGCAACATTTACAAAGCAATTTGTGACTCTTCTGGTAGCCTTGCCAAGCTGGCTCTGTCTCCCATTTTACAGATGAGCGAGGAAACTTAAGATCAGATTCCACCAAGAGGGAAGGAAACAAGCACAAAAGCCCATGTAGGATCCCACCCTGCTCCTCTCCGTTCACTGTGCCTCCCCTCTGAGGCTTGCTGGTATCAGCTACCCTGACTGAACCCCAACACACTTTTATCTCATTGCCATTCTTACCTCTTCTGGTCTCACTTTAAGTTTCTAGTTGAGGAAACAGCACCATAGTATAACAGTATAAGCCTCCATCTGTGGTGTCAGCATCCCATGTGGGTGTTGGTTCAAGTTCCAGCTGCTCCACTTTCAATACAGGTACCTGCTAACAGCCTGGAAAAGCAGCAGAGGTTGGCCAAGTCCTTGCATCCCTGCACCCACCTGGGGAGACTCTAAAGAAGCTCTTGGGTTAGGACTGGTCTGGCTTCAGCCATTTGGGAAGTGAATCAGCAGATGTGTCTCTCCTCTCTCTATAAGTCTGCCTTTCAAATAAAAATACTTAAATATATATTTTTAAGTTTCTAATTTAAAGGATCTTTGCCTCATGCCCTACTGCAGATAAGAAACCGTTTTTATGAGCTCCCAGAGTGCCTTCCACCTCTAAACACTTAAAGTATATGCATGGATTGGATTAGGTAACCACTTGTTTACTCCCTGACATTGGCACCAAGGGACTGTCAGGAAGGGGAAGCACCCTGGCCACCCAACAATCTGTGTCAGCTCTTCCTTCCCGTGACACCCCAAAGAAACGATCACTTCCAAGACAATCTTGTGCAACTCTTTGTCTCAAAATACCAGATGGCAGTCACCACCCATTGACATGCAGAGACTGTAGACCCCCTCACTGCTGTCTTGCTTACTCTTAAATCCCAGCCCCTCACCCAATGCTCAGGGAGCTCGGTGATGCAGGACTCCCAGGCTAGTGCTTTTCAAGCCACCGTATCATGGACATTCTCTTCTAGAGAGTTGATGTACAGGCTTGGGGTTGGAGCTTCAATAAGCAACAACCACACAATACTCAGCTATGGGATCAGTCTAGATGTCACACCCCTCCCTCTTGACCCATTCAGAGGATGTTTGTCCTGGCCTACGGAGAACTGCTGAATTGTTGGAGATGGAACAGCCTGGCAGGAGGTGCTGACTCTGGAGGGCACCAGGCAGCAAGCCCCAGGTCATCCTGGTCCCTGCACCACATCTCAGGAGAGGCGGTGAGGCCTCTTGGGAAGAGAGACTCCAGGCCCAACAAAACACATGAAAGACACAAAAGAAAAGAGATTTGTGACCCTCCTGCCCTTCCTCTTATTCAGGCAGGCCCTTTGCAGGCACTCTCTCATACGCACCTAGAGATGTTGGCTTCAAAAAGCCAAGCTCAGGATTTTGCCCCAACCCCACTGACTCCAAGTTTCTGCATGTGATTCAAGGAATCTGTATTTGGATCAGACTCCCCAACAAGTCCCGATGTTTGCTAAATTCCAAGGCATTCTTGATTCCTCAGGTCATCTCTTAGGCCAGGATTTTCAAAGGCCGAACATCAGCTCAGGGTTGACCAGAACTGGGAGGCCAGGAATTCCATGCAACTTGATAAGAATCCCTCCAACCTGGCCTTTGTAACATTTTCAGAGTGTTAACAGTCACCTCCTGTAGCAGGTGGCCTGGTGATCTGTCCTGTAACCCGTCCCATCTCCCATCTCGTCCTTATCACCTCCAGGGTATCTCTGGGCTCTGCCAGAGGGAGGCAAACTAAAGGACTGAGACCTGGTTTCTGTCACAAAGTTCGAAGTGCCAGATCAAACTATGATGGCACAAGAATGCGGTGCCTTTTGTTTATTTTCAGGAAGAGTGGGGACATTTTAAAAGCAGCCAGATCCCCAAACCAAGACAGAATAATAAAGTTCTTCCCATCGCCTTGTCACTCTTGGGTCTGTCATTGTCCCTGGGTCTAGTCCTAGCCTATTGCTAGGGAAAAAAAAAATCCTCACTCACAGTGCCCATGATTAGGCAGGGCCCAGTCACAGGAGACTCAAGGGGACTTGAAATGATTTGTTCTGACACTTCAGTTTCTGTGAAAACCTGAGTCTCTCTCTCAAAAAATGTGCATGATTCAAGAGATTTCCTATAATTTCAGGGGTGCATGGGCTCCAGCAGACCAGCCTTGGGAGCCCACCCATGAGGCCCAGACTCAAAACAACCAAACACAAGATGGAGAATCACAAACCTGAGACACCTGGAATCTGTTATCCTAAGGTAGGATAGACAAGAAAACCTGTGTGTGTGTGGGGGGGTGTGTGTGTGTGTGTGTGTGCGCACGCGCACGTGTATGCATACGCGCATGTATAAAATATTCCATTTAACAGACATTTGGCATAAATATAGATTTGTGCATTATTTAATTTTCTGGTGCTTTTATTAAGCAGAAGTAACCATTATTTTAGGGACATTAATCATTGATTATGTAGAATTTAATATACTCATGAAAAAATCATGTTTTGAAAATTTAAAGGTGTAATCTGGATGACAATTAAATATTTACTTGCTGGATTTAAAGCATTTCTTGGGGGAGAAAAAAAATGAAACTAGTAGGCTTTGAAATAATACACACAAGTACTTCCAAAAGTTCATAGAAAATGCAATTAAAAGATAAGTTCATTTTTGGTGGAAAGACCAATTTGAAATCCATATATGCTAGGGGTCTTCAAAAACCTCATAGAAATGCCTATTATGAAAAATCTATGCATGAATTTCAAACAATGTTTGTTCCAAAACAAATTTATCTTTTAATTGCACTTTCCATGAACTCTTTGAAGTATTCTTTTAAGTTGAATTTCTGCTGTTTTTGTAAAAATCACCCCAGACTGACGAATCTGACTCTAAGGGAAGAACGATGCAAGTACTTCCTCCCAGAATCCTTTGTCCCGAGATAATAAATATAACCAAGAGACCAGGTACTACCCCAGCCTGCCACTCACTTCAAGAATCATTCTGTGTCTGCTTGACCAATTCAACTGGGCAAGTAGCATCACAGGCATGGAGCTGCCTACTTGCCCTGTGCCTATTCTGACCTCCCAAGAGGGCTGCCCTAGTCACAGAGGTGCTGGGTTTGCCTTCCTCTCCCACAGAAATGTTGCAAGCTCACATTGGTGCCATTGTCCGTTGGTTCTGTGGCAAACCTTATCCTATATGATGCAAAAAAGCAAACATCATCCTTCAAAACAGAAGTCTTCAAAAATTTGTAATTTATTCCATGAAAAATCTGCACGAATTTCAAATATTTTCCATGAAAGTAATTTTAAAGTTTTTCTAAAATATTTGCCAATATGCAATATATTTCATGTACTTTATAGCTACATTCTAAAATGCCCATACTTCCCTATCTTCCCCTCTCTCCCTCAATTCCCTACCTTTCTTCCTGTTTTTTTTTTCTTCGATTTTTATAAGGACATGCTTTCAACCTATTCTATAATCACAGGCTTGATTCACCACCAACCATAATATTCACCAGGCAAAAGCAAGGAAGCCCACAGAATAGAAAGAGCTAAAAACAATTCACAAGTTCTTCATTTCATTCCTATACATTTGTGTGTGTGTGTGTGTGTGTCCTGTGTTCTGTATTAACTTCCAAATAGCACAGAAAACAAATGCTATTTGTCTTTCTGGGACTGAGTTATTTCACTAAGCATAATAATTTCCAATCAGATCCATTTTGTTACAAAAGACATATTTCTTTTTTATGGCTGAGTAGTATTCCACAGTTTGGTCGTCCATACCACCTTTTCTTTATCCATTCATCAGCTGAAGAAATTTGGGTTGATCACATATCTTAGCTATTGTGACTCGAGCTGTTAGAAACATGTGGGTACAGCACCTCTTCCTTATGTTTATTTCATTTTGTTATGATCCCTTTTCCAAAAACTTTTCTGAAGTTCCACAGTACAGGATGCAAGGCCTTCACCATAATCCTCCCCAGTTGGGCAAACTTGTGGTTGCTGGGGCATTTCCTGCAGGTATCCGAGATGCACCAGCAGTTGGAGCTGCCAGGAGCTGGGCTTGCGGTGCCCAACCCTTTTGTGGATGCATTCCTCACTTAGACACCGGTAAAGCACTTTGGTGTTGCTTTGCAAAAGCTAGGCACTACTGTGCTCACCCCTGTGAACACATATCTCCTGTACTAAAAAGTCCAGCTGCCTTCTATCTCAATCTTTGAGCACATGTGGTAATATTTCATTGCAGTGTCAAAACCTAGTGTATTCTTTCTGAGGATCTTTCAAATGGCGGTTGAACTCAACATCTGTAGTGCTACTAGTGCACTTAACTGAAGTGATGACAGTAGGAATTGCCATGACAAACTTTTGATGTTATTAACAGGTGCATCTCCAGTGAACAATGTCCTCAATTGATCCCCAGAGGCATTGTGATGTGCAACCATGAGCTCTACATCAATTCAATGTACTTCTTACTTCCTCTCCTGTACCCTGTTTTAACGCCCTTGGCAGATCACTGGTCATAAGTAAAATAAAGAGGGAAAAAAAGCCCAGCTAATAGGATACTGGTAAAATTTATAAGTCTTTTCATGTCCAGTAATGCCGTGACTCATATTATTACGGTCTTAAAGTAAGAAACTAAAATAAGCAGTTTTTTTTTTCATTTAAGTGAATGGCATTGTGACACAGTGGGTTAAGCCACTGCCTGTGACAACTGGTATCCTATATGGGCACTCCCTATGGGTTTGCATCCCAGTTGCTCCACCTCTGAAACAGCTCCTTGCTCATGCCATGGGAAAAGCAGCAGAGGATGGCCCAGGTGACTTTGCTACCCATGTGGGCAACCCAGGAGAAGCTAATGGCTCCTGCGTTTCACCTGT